CCCAGTTCAGCGGGCGAAGAGCTGACTCTGACTCTGCACGAACCATCCTTGACTGCCGACAATCTAGGAATGAAGACTTGGGTATCCTCATATCTTCTCTCCCAACGACTCCACGCTCTCCTCGAATCAACCCCGCAACTCGTCCCTTCTGAGACGACCGCCCTTACCCCGAAGACAGATCGCACACTCCGGGCCTTAGAGCTAGGCGCTGGAACAGGTCTCGTGGGACTTTCGTTTGCGGCTATCCGCGGACAGTCGGCTTCGATTCATCTCACAGACCTCCCCGATATTGTTCCTAATCTTGCCCACAATGCCGCTCTGAATGTGGAGCTGCTTACCAACACCGCCGCGACTGTCACGACTGGCGTGCTCGACTGGTCCGTTGCGCCGGCGCCTCTTCCCACTCAAGAGGAGCAGTACGACCTGGTCCTGGCCGCCGACCCTCTGTACTCACCCAAGCATCCCAAATGGCTTGTAGAGACTATCGGGCACTGGCTGAGCCGCGGCCTTGATGCGCGCGTGGTGACCGAAATGCCCCTGCGAGATGCATACTTGCCACAGGTACAAGAATTTCGTGAGCGCATGGGACAGCTTGGTCTGGAGGCGGTTTATGAGGGAGAGGAGGTAGGGTATGATGACTGGGAGTCGGCAGATGGAGGAGCGGTAGCAGTTCGATGCTGGTGGTCCGTTTGGGGGTGGAGCGAGAAGCTCTAGCCTGTCATGACGCACGGTCCCATTGGTCTGGTCTGTCAGATCATATCAACCGCACTAGAACGATGTCACGAAAATCCACGATCAACGAGCGACGATAGAGATTAGATAGATAGACTAGATATATGTCCCTGCGCAGCGATCGATCGGCTCATCGTTAGTATAGAACATTACATGAGAGCTTTGCATACACCGCGTATATCGTTATCAAGTTAGCATGGGAGCTCGATAATAGAATAATGATAGCGATAGGATACCATTTGATCGTAATTTTGTCTTTCACTGTTGAGTTCGACGGATGTACCTTTTGAGTCCTTCTGTATCAGGCACGCGATACAACCAAATTGCCCGCTCACGTGCCTAGACCTATGACGGCATTGGGTTCCTGACCTTTATTACAATCAACTATTCATATCGCCACAGATCTATATTAGTATTCTTCTTTTCTACTTGTACATATTATGCTCTTCCAAATACAAATATATTGATTATCTATATATAGCCACCAAAACCTTCAACTTGAAACAAACTCCCAAAAAAACACTCATATCCCAGATCAACATCTACCCCAACTTATCAACCCAGTCAACAACCCACCAAAATGGTCATCGGCCTATTAACAATAGCCGCAATTCCCACCGTAACAGGTGTCGCACTGGGTGTAAGCGAACAGCGCAAAGCAAACGAGCGCAAAAATGACGAGAGGCGCATGGCCAAATTCCTCATCGACGTCGAAACCAACGGAGAAACACAAGAAGACAGCGAAGTATGCGGGAAGCGGTTCGTATTAAGGAATAACAAGGTATGTGACGCTCTCCATTGCTGCGTTTTCTTTCGCGCGCGCGCACATATGACTGATCTGGAAATCACGTTTCGTGTAGGTTTATCTCGATGATCCAAACCCTTCAAATCGGAAGCTTCCGTCGCATACGGTCACTTCCTTTTACATTGATTATCCGGAGCTTGAGGAGACGAAACATTTGAAGCGCGGTTTGGGGCTTGTTACTACGATTTCGGATAATCCGCCTATGCTGGGGTGGATTTATGTGGATAAGGATACGCATGAGTTGAAGTATGGGAATCGCACGGCGAGTGTTGAGCATGTTGTTGGACCGTGGGATTGGACGGAGGATGAGACGACTATAACGCTGGAGGAGAGTCCGGATTTTTATGCGGTGCAGGAGGAGGATGGGGAGTGGGCGGTGTATTTTGATCGCGATGGGGATGAGTTGGAGTATGTTTTGGAGGAACAGGATAAATTGGATAATGCATTTGCGCCTATTGCTCTGAAGCGGAAGTTGATTGAACAGCTGTTACAACAAGCCCAAGCTCAGCAAGCTAAGAAGAATGACAATTCGTGATTTGGTATCCATTGTTCGGAGGGGGAATCGTAATTTCATTTTTGTACAGAGTACTTATTATGCATGGGATTTCTAGCCCGTTTTTTACTCTTGGATGCCACCCCAGCCGTCGTCGCCGCTATCAGACTCCGCACCCGATGGTCTCTGGAGCTTCCTGTTACGGCTCGCTGCGATAGCGCCCTTCTTCTTGTTTTCCATGCGTCGCTCGAAGCCGCTCTTCGTGCTGATTCTTGTCTTCCGTTGCTGCTTGTCATCTGCCACGCTCTTGAGGTTCGTCTGTCTGGCTTTGACGCCGTGTTTCTTCAATTCTTTCTTGTCCTTCTTGCTGAGATCGGGGAGTGAGTCTAGAAGCCATTTTTGGACTGACTTTTCGCCCTCCGTGCCTCGTAACTTCTCACTGACGTCGATAATGTTGGCAATGCTCTTGACGTAAGGAATGTCTTCCTTGGTGTAGTATGTCACTGCGACACCACCTTCACGACCAGCCCGGCCCGTACGTCCAACTCTGTGAACATAAACAGCCGCCGAGTTCGGAATATCGTAGTTGACAACACCGTTGATTCCGCGGAAGTCGATACCGCGAGCCAGAAGATCAGTTGTAACAAGAATCCAGATCTCGCCCTTGCGGAAGTTCTTCATAATCTCGGAGCGCTGGCCGTCCGAGAGATCGGAGTGGAGGACAGCGATACGCGATGAACCACCAGCTTCGGGAGGAATATCGTAGCGCAATTCTGAATGGAGAGCCACGGCTCTAGGAATGGTCTGTGTAAAGATCAGGAACGGCGGACGAAGGCGAATATCTGATGCTGCTGCCGCCGCGGGATGGAGGAGTTGTCTTAGACCGAGCAGTTTTCCTTGTTCCGTTGCAGCGTAGACCAGCTTATGCTGGATGTTGGGAATGGCAGAGTCCTTCAATCCGACGACGAGGCGATACAATGGGTAGGACTTTGTGAGACTTGAAGCATCCTTGCGCTCCTTGATTGTTGATTTGGCGAGGTCTTCGATGCTCGAACCCATGGTAGCTGACCATAGGCTTGCTCGAAGCTCGGGGTGTGTGCAGGCGCGCCAGATATCGAGAGTTTGCTCGCGGAACAAGGGATCCAAGAGAACATCTGCCTCATCAAGGACAATATTCCTCACCAAGGGCAACGTGGCCATGGGTTTAGTTTTGTTTGCAGAGAGTGCATTAACCAGTTGCAGAGGCGTCGTTACGAGAATGTCGCTCTTAGTCACAGGGGCCTTGCCCTTGCTTTTCTTCTCTGTAGTCTTTTCGTCGTCCTCCGACTCGGAAGATTCAGAATTGCCCTCATCCAAAACATCCTCATTGCCATCCTCACGCTCCACCACCTGCATGCCCTTCTTCATTAAGGTAATCTTAACACCAGTCCCCGCGACCAACTTTCTCCCTTCGTTAACAATCTGACTAGCTAGTTCCTTAGTCGGCGCAACAATAACCGCAAAAATGCCTCGCTCTTCTTGCTGCTCATGGTGATGGCGCACAATCTTATTGATAACCGGAATCAAGAACGAAAGAGTCTTTCCACTTCCCGTAGGCGCGACGACCAAAAGATCCGGCTCGACTGTCTCATCCGCCTTCGACGGGGTAAGCGTCCGGTCACCCAGCAACAAAGGCAAAGTCCCCAACTGCACTTCTGTAGGCACAGTAAAGCCCTGTTCGGCGATGTTTTCCGCCAGACGGCGCGAGATCTTGTACTGTGTGCGCAACTCCTTGAAAGAGACAAGAGGCCGCGGGAATAACCGCCGAGCCTTCTTCTGCTCCTTCTTAGTGAGTGTCTGCGCAGGCTCTTCTTTCTGCTTTCTCTTCTTCTTTTTCTTCTTCGGTTCCTCTTCGCCCTGCGCCTGCACAGGTTGGATCTCCTCAAGCTCGCGCATATCCGTCACTTTGATCTTGTGAGAGTTTAAGATCGTCCGGCGCTGCACTTCATCCATCTCATCTTCGTCTTCCGAGCCAGAAGCCCGCTCCTCATCCAATGGCGCCTCTTCTGTCTTCACAACCTTTCTCGAAGATCCCGTATTAGAGCTGAAGAAGTCCAGATTAGGTTCACGTTCCTCCGGCTCATCCGCCGCAGAACCCCTCTTTCGTTTCTTGCCATTCTTCTGTTCTTCAAGTAGCTTCTCAGCTTCGGGATTACGAAATAGCTGCGGGTTCTCCGCCTTGCCCGTGGAGGGAAGTGATGCTGAAGACGGGCTGGGACCGGCCTTGAATTTGGTCGACCTGGTCAGCAGCTTGAAAGCATCCATCGCTGTGAGCTATATCGCCCGTGCGAAGAAAAAGATACTATGTGAATAGCTGCGACGGGTTTACAAGTTATAAAGGTGTGGTGGTTGGATACGCGGTATAAAAAAAAAGTTGGAGGGCAGAAATTCTTTCCCGCACGGGCCAATCAGCGTTGTGTTTCCCCATCTGTTACAGTACCGTACCTTAAAAGAGGGACTCCACAAAAAAGCTGCTAGCATGAAATTGATTCGATTCCAGGACCCGTTCTAGAAATTTCACTATGGAGGTGCCCTTGATTATTAGCTGTGTTTTTGGGTCGTATTGCATTGCTAGAGGTATGCAATTGTTACACCCTTGACATTAATGCTACGTAGATATAAGTAGTACTAGGAGATAGTAACGAATGATCAATTCAAACGCACATCTAGCACATAAATGACGAACATCTCTATACGACTTCCACTTTTGACACAGGTAAAGTAGGGAAAAAAACCAAAATAATGAACAATTGGCATGTATATCACCCCCTGGATTAAAGCATCCAAAGGAAAAAGAGGGAATCCTCCAAAAGTGCGTGATTTACCTCAGACAACAGTTAAATTCCATCGTCTATCATACAATAGTACAGAACGCAGTGATAAAAGGAAATATAAAAAAAGACAGGCCATGCATTAGTGCTTGTGGGTGATCTAATGGTCTCCGTGGTGCTCAGGGTGGCCCCTATAGCCGACAATGTTCATTCTACCGATCATCTCACCGACAGTGAAGAATCCGATAATCTCCGCGAGAGTTACACCGGCCAGGGCGATTTCCTTCTTGTTGGCATTGCGGACACGGGCGGCGATGTCTCCGGGAGAAACGAAGTTAGCGTTCTTAAGGGCGGCAGGACTGCGGAAAGCGTTGAGCAGAGGCTGGTAGAAGGACTGGAAGGTAGCCAGGTTGCTGCGGGATGTTAGTTAATGGCGGGCATTTTGTCGGTCACATGGAAGCGCTTACGGAGGAGTCATGTTCTGTCCACGGAAAACGAGCTTGGCGAGTTCAAGGCCGACCTTGCCGTAGTAGAGGGTAGGGGGTATCATAGCTGTTTCATCCAAGTATATGGTTAGCGATGCTGGTACACATGTCGACGTAGGCTGAGAGGCCTGGCGCGTTCCTACACGCAGGAGTCGTGGCGACAATGGCATTGATGACCACGGCTCCCACTGGTAGCAGGAAGGGGCGAGACGTCATGAAACGAAAACATCGGAGATCTTCTTACAATCGACGAAAGCGATGACTTTTCCGGTCCTTCCACCAACCTTCCTCAGAGCACTGCCGACGCCCTGGGCGGCATTCGAAAGAGCGGGGCCAGCGGTGGATGTGACACGAGAGAGACCCTCAGAGGCCTTAGAGGCAGCAGAGGATGCAGCCTCGCCAGCCTTCTGAGCAGACTCCGGAGTGGAGGAAGCGTATCTGACAGCGGTCCTCCGGGTCAGGAACTGCGATTGCCGAAGAACGGCACGGGACGCGGTAGCGGGCATCTTGAAGACCACAGAAAAGAAAAAAGACTGTAAAAGGAGAGAAAGACTTTTAGAAGCGGCAGAGGGAGGACAAAGGAGTCCAATGGCGGTGTGGTCAAGAGCCGGAGACACTGGATCGTCGCGCAATTGCAGGACCAGAATCTGAGATTTGAGGCTCGGGAAGTTCAGGGAAAACGCTCTCTCCACTGGGTCACGTGCACGGCGGCACTGTTGACATGCCATCCAACGGCCCGACCATGAACAATTGAGCATACTAACTCCCAAGCCAACTTCGTGATCTACTAGGCGACTAAATAGGAGTTCGGTATTATCTCCCAGACACCCACTGACCACTAAGCGCGAATTATGTACCATCCCATCAGACGGCTGTCAAGAGAATCCAGGTTTCCACACCTTGATGGAATCTACACTACCGGTGCAATCAATCATGAGATTTCATGGGTAGATACGAAGTCAAACTGGCCAAATCATCGGCTGATGGCTATTTCGCTTGGTTCCTCTGACTTTAAGCAAGCCATCATAGTACTCCGTAAAGCGACTATTGGCTAATTCGGCATTGATCTACACGTTGTTTCTGTTATCATGATAAAGCACCTTTACTTGATATCTCTGCAAATGACGAAAAACAGCAGCAGACTTTAGAAGGACGGGCTTTCATGTAAACCATACATTCAGAGAGCCAAGCGCGACCTGGTAGGAACTAATTCGATCAGACACTAGCTCTTTATGGGAAGCATGAAAGCATCATATAAACTGGGCGCAATTTATATATTTACTTCCCACTTACAGCAAGTGCAAGCCGCCGAGACCCGATATCGACTGTGATTAGGCCAGAGCATTGAAATCTCCAAATATTGAAAGTTATGCTATTGAGAGCTCTCGAATGTTAAAAATGCCGGAGAATTCACCAAAGCCATGGCTGTGACGACAATATAGCCCCACCAAAATCCTTGAGGACATACGAAATACTGGGTCGAGCCTCCTGGCGATGGAGCTAACTATTTTCTAAAGATTGACAAGTCTTGTCTATACAAGTCTCGATCCACCCCGTGGGCTCTTCCTGGGTGGTCTCGGACCGTTGGCCGAACAATGCTCAGACTCCAATATATGAAGTTTGAGATTAAAAGGAAAGTGTGCATGAGATGAAGCACTTTTATACGATCATATTATCGGCAAACCCTGGTCAGATGCTTAAACTTGAGAGATACTCGCTGACATGCTATCTGCAGGGCCTTATAGCATATGAAAAGTGAGGTCCCGTGGCGTTTCTCGCCTGAGATTGGTGCTATACCTGAGGCAGCTTAAATTGTGGTATGAGGATTCATTAAGCTTTTCTTCTAGAACCTCTCTAGAAGTTCCTAGAGCAAGAGAGGCTCCTGGCAAGTGGACTGACAAAACTGCTGGCCAATCGCAGCGGGTCGGCGTCATTTATGACATCTTTAGATTGCCCTAGGAGTAACATTATCCGGGATGTCACAGTAAAAGGCGTTTGCTCAATTATCATTCGCGACGCGGGAAATTCATAGAAGAATATGACGCTAATCAACGGCGACTCAAAGAAGTTATGTGCCAAATATACTGCGAGTATACCTATCAACAAATATATGAAATAGAGAGTCGATTTGATGCACGACTCTTTGAGACGCGATCCCCAAATCTTGGCGCTTTTCGGCAATTCAATGCTATTGTATCTTATATGCCTTTTTTGTGGTTTGCTTGTCTTCAATGAATCATACCGTTTTAGCACACTACCACTCTCTACATGTAGTTGCACCCTCGATATGTAGCAGCATCTCATCAATTTGAGACAAGTTGAACCATATGACTTTTCGGAAGACCCCGACTGACGGCTCAGTGAAACCGAGAGGATGAATAAATCCGTCCTATGACTGCCCACAACTTCAAGACCGAAGAGGGATTGAGAGTTGCCGAGTGAACCCGTGGACATGTCGGGGTGGATACAAGAGTATCGAACGGCCTTCTGGATTCTCCACCAAAGAAGGCGACGTTTCCACCGGAGAATTGCCGCTCTGGGAACAATCCCACTGAACTATGGTTCTGGCCCAGGCACCAAAACCAATGAATGCTACATGATTTGTTGGGCCAAAAAATTGATAATGCTTGTGGATTCTGATTTACCAATTCATTTTTCTTGTGGAGGCGCAAGATGTATCGAAAATGCGTGTTTAGTGGTTGTTCAATGATCACCAATGGCTAAAATCCCCTATTTAACCGAAAGAACCCTATGTTATTCTGCAGCATATTGGTTTCGGATAGAGATAGATAACCTAGCTATCAGTTTAGAAGTATTATCTTTGTCTGATGGGCTTTCCATTTTGAGGATACATTATCAACTCATTCAACCAAATAATGTTCGTTCTAGAAGCATTTTAATCAACCATCACAATGCTCGGGGCTTCAGTCAACAACAATTGCCACCATTTATAGACCAGTCGGCATGTTTACTGGAGACGTTTCTCCCTAAGAGATACTTTGTATGCGCAGACTTTTCCTATATTATCAATGGCTGGGGGTCACGAACCCGCTCCTGGTTCCTATAGTTTCCTAAAACATCAGTACTCCGAGTAGGTGTCTGCGATAGAAAGACGGCCAAAGATATTCCGTTTGAAGCCCCGGTCATACTGAGGCTACAGTCTCCAGATACGGTAATGGGTCAATTCTCCGGAGACTCAGTGAGCACCATGACTTCAAAAGGTGACCAATGGTGATGCCCCAGAAGTGACCCCCGCGGGCGCGGGGCACCGGCTAAATAAAATCTGGGCCAGTGATGGGTGCCACGATGCCTCCACTCTGTCCCGCAGGAAGATGGAGCATTTATGGAAAATGGAGCAGTAGTATCGGCTTGATGGTTGACCGTCTTTCATGCGCAATCAGGATCCTCAGTGGCTTTGCAAGCTGGGTCTGATTAAAAAAAATTATTTCCAATGCTCCTTTTCACTTTTCGCAATCTTGGAGGGGTAGCTCCGTCGGGCAGCTATTAAAGCTTGTTGGCTCCCCTACTCTCTTCCTGCTTGTCCCTCTTGCTGCATTCTCTCATTCCACTCGATCCTCCTACCGTCAATCCTCAGATCTCCTTCCTCGTACATCATGGCTACCGCAACTGTCCTCGAAAAGGCCAACATTGGTGTTTACACCAACACCAACCACGACTTGTGGGTCGCAGAATCGAAACCGACACTCGAGGAGGTGAAGAGTGGCGAGAGCTTGAAGCCCGGTGAGGTAACAGTCCAGGTTCGCAGTACCGGAATTTGCGGGTATGCACTTCTTTGGTTCCCTAGCGAGGTGTTCTTAAACTGACGATTGGTGTTCAAAACAGATCTGACGTGCATTTCTGGCATGCCGGTTGTATTGGTCCCATGATTGTCACGGGAGACCATATCCTGGGTCACGAGTCGGCCGGTGAAGTCATTGCAGTTGCTTCCGACGTCACCCACCTCAAGCCAGGCGATCGTGTCGCCGTCGAGCCCAACATTCCCTGCCACGCTTGCGAGCCTTGCTTGACTGGACGTTACAACGGTTGTGACAAGGTGCTTTTCCTGTCCACCCCTCCCGTGGACGGTTTGCTGCGGCGCTATGTCAACCACCCGGCAGTCTGGTGCCACAAGATCGGTGATATGAGCTATGAGGATGGAGCTTTGCTGGAGCCTCTCAGTGTGTCTCTCGCTGCCATTGAGCGAAGCGGGCTTCGCTTGGGCGACCCTGTTCTTGTCACCGGTGCTGGTCCCATCGGTTTGATCACTCTCCTCAGTGCCCGCGCCGCGGGAGCAACACCCATTGTCATCACCGATATCGACGAAGGCAGACTAGCATTCGCCAAGTCGTTGGTTCCCGACGTTATCACCTACAAGGTGCAGACCAACCTGTCCGCCGAGGATAACGCTGCGGGCATTATCGATGCTTTCAACGATGGCCAGGGCTCCGCCCCCGATGCCTTGAAGCCTAAGCTGGCACTGGAGTGCACCGGCGTCGAGAGCAGTGTCGCATCCGCTATTTGGAGTGTCAAGTTCGGTGGCAAGGTCTTCGTGATCGGTGTGGGCAAGAACGAGATGAAGATTCCGTTCATGCGTCTGAGCACTCAAGAGATCGACCTTCAATACCAGTACCGTTACTGCAACACCTGGCCTCGCGCCATTCGCCTCGTGAGGAACGGTGTCATCAGCCTGAAGAAGCTTGTTACACATCGCTTCCTCTTGGAGGACGCTCTCAAGGCCTTCGAAACTGCTGCAGACCCCAAGACAGGGGCTATCAAGGTTCAGATCATGAGCAACGAGGAGGATGTGAAGGCCGCTTCTGCTTGAATCAATCACTGCTGAAACAAACTTCAGTCCCGGTGTTAAAGGTAGTCAGTCACGTTTTATACCTTTTGTGTTTTTTCTGATATCATTTTCTGCAATGATGAGTCATGTAATGTTATGATGATCGTTTTAGATATATTACTTTGAACTATAGACATTCTAGATGAATTCTATTCCTTGAGCTTCTCAACATCGGCTTGTGTCTTTTCTTGTCTTGAATTGGAATAACGTAGGCGCGTTGACTATATTTGGTTTCCGCATCGTACCTGAATATGGGGCTGTAAAGGCTGCTTTTATATGATTGCCCATCAAGGACCTTGGGGGGGATTCAGGCCTCCATGGTGGCTAGCTTGTTTTGAAGTGCATGCATGTACATTATTACACGCTGATTTTGATCCATTTGCTGTTGTAATAACCCACCAGCTTTCACCATCAAAGTGCCACCAAATTCGCCAATGGGAGAAAGTGCTCTTATGGCCAGGCATTTCAATCATGATCTCAACAAGTGTTTGACGGTAGAAGTCTTATTTAAACAACTCCATGTTCTTCTCAAGGTAAAGTATAAAATCTTCTCCAAGCAAGGCGCTATCACCGACGAAGCCTGACTACTTATCACCATGGATATATGAAAAGAAAGTAAAGAATCATATACTGAAATCACTCCCACGCTTCCCATATGTGATGTTTACCCAAGACCGTCCTGATCTCGCCCCATGCATGCATGCCCAGAACATGGGAATGGGCACAACACGCAGCTTATAATTGACTTCCAAAGGGCTTGAACACAAGCCATGTGGGCCTTTCACATGCGTGGCATTCGTGCCTTTCTCCATTTGAACAGGCATTGGTGCTCCCTTAGAAGGCTGGGGACTACACGAGGAATTTTTATAAGGCCATCGAAATACGGATTTTGGGGTCCGTTTTTCATTAGCACTAACTCTGATGTCCACACATACACTAACGGAGCCACATGAATACTCGGCCCGAACCTAAAGCACAGTTTTGTCCAATATAAATCGTACAGGAGGAGAGCACCCTTGGCAATATCCTAAAGGTGTTCCTGTATTGCCTCGCTGGACCATGACTTTCTCCAGCCACCGGTTTCGAAACTGTGTAAGTACACGCTTAAATAGGCCTTCTGGTCTCGGTAGGAGAATGATACTAATGATTGGAGGTGGTTCATCTCATTGGTGTCCCCGTCAGGGCTGGATATTCGTTAGCTTATCTGTAATAATGATGCCTTGGATGTCGACTCACTAATAAGAGAAGAGGTTGTCTTTGTATGTTTGAGCCATCTCCGTCCACCCTCTTCGGGCACAGAATGTAGCGACGGCGTCTGCGACTGCCGCGTCCCCTACACCAAATGTATGGAAGTAGACCTGTGGGGCTGGATACGGGTCATTTGGGTGGAGCGTATAATTGGCCAGCAGAGGAAGCCGTTCGTTGACTTTGGAGTCAAGTTCCAAATAGCCGCCATCGGGAAAGTGACATGGACCTTCAGGGATGTTGAGTAGATCCCATAGTTCCCGGAGTAGTCGCAAACCACTGATAGTGATGGGATCCTGACGCCGATAGCCGAGTGTCCAGAGGTCCTCCAGGTGCAGCCAGTCCACTGTCTGCTCAGCCACATAGATTTTGATCCGTGAACGACTCGGGTCAATCAGGTCGCAGGATATGAGACGGGCCGAAAGAGTCTTGTCCTTGTGGGAGTTGATATAATCTTCCAAAATGGATAACGGGTCATCCAGCTTCCGTTCCCAGTCCACTCTTCGCACCGAGTCGAACATGAGCTGCTCAATTGGAATACCAGTAGCAACTGATTTGAGATAAGGATAAATGTACATCTTGACCTCGAACTTCCCACCTTTCAAATCCACGCCTAGTTTGTTCTGCGTCCTGACTTGTCCCTTGTCCAACCCATTGTCTCTAACGAACTTCGTTTCTTCTGCATCCAATACTAAATCCTTCTTGAATTGAGCAAACCACTGGAGATCAACCTCAGACCCCAGCTTCGCGAGCTTCCCAAGACATTCCCAGATGATATGTGCATTGAAGGGATCCTGCTCGGTCCCAGATAACGGACCGATGGGCTCAAATGCAAACCTCACGACCGAATTAGAGCAATTCAAGCTCAATTCATAAGGTAGTCCAAACCGGCTGAGGATGCTCATCCATCGGTCCCTGCCGTTTGCCGGATAGGGACCCAAATACGGAACCACGCATTTGTGGTGGAGACATAAGTATGAGTATTGGGCATGGATGTTGTAGCCTGCATCTTTCAGGATTTTTGCAAACATTGGCCCGGTACTCTGCCACCAGTCTCGCTGGTCCTCATTTGCAAAATCTAAGATTTTGCTGAGGACCTGGAATGGTTCGAGTGCGGTGATAGTGGGCGTTTCGTGCGGCATATTGTATCAACCAAAAATACCCGGGAAGAACAGTAGTGTAATTTAGAAGCAACGATAGAAAAAAATTGGCAAAATTCCAGAGCAATAGGTGATACATATATAATCTATCTATGCTTCATTCCGCCAAACTACCTTCGCGGGCCTTGATCCTGTTCACTTCTTGGCCTTTAGACACGGCAGAGACACTCCAACAAATGAGCGAACATGCAGAAGTGTCTTCTCTTGGGTCAGGCGTGATATGTAAGCGCTAATATATATAATTTCGTATTTGTTATCACACGGCTTGGCTGGAAGCCTGAAGAACCAACAGAAGATCTAAAGGCTCTCTTGATTAGGGAAATGCGTCACAAAGTAATATATCTTAGACAGTATTTCGGAACCATGGTCTATCAATTATATATTAGCCATAGAAGGAAACCCGGTTAATGATAGCGAATAGTCACATAGAGTAATGGTTGGTGGCTATCTTAGTGTGAAAGATGACTATATATACACAAATGTATATCATATAGAAAGTTGGAACGTGGTCAGCCGGATTTCAGGGTCCTGCACTAAAACAAGAATCAGTTGGTGCTGTTTCATAGATAACCCGGATTAATCTCGAATGATACTTCTTATCGTGGCGCAGTGGTGTCATCCTGCTGACGAATTTACAACGGCTTCTCGAATGCTCATGTATGGCATATTATATTGGACGGTCATTGCCGCTAGCCAAGCTAGTGTCTCACTTGTAATGTAGGAATAAGAAGTAGGATCATGGTTTATTAAGCTAACAGAAAAATATGGTTTATCACCCTAAGATGGCCACTTACTGTCCTCGCCCATTTCAGATTCCAGGCCCCGGTTAACAGCGGCTTCACGGGCAAATTCTGTCACGAGTCTCTTTTCTTTAGCCCTTGGTTTAGGGTTTCCCTATTAAGTTAGGTTTCCCTATACTATTATGTGAATACAAAGGCTTGGTCTTATTATTTATATCATTATACTTGATTCCAATAGAAGCTTATCTGGTCATTTCCAAGAATCACTACTGTAACCTGCTTGCCATATAACGCATACTATCACTGGAGGTTCTGTGTTCTGCTGGCACTCCCGTGCACCAGATGACATAGGCAGCTCACGATAGTCTCAGTAGAGATCAACAAACTCCATCATGATCGTTTTGCTCTTCTGGACCCTTACAGAACTCAAAACTAAGAAACTATTGTAAGCTGGGACTAAATGAGGTCGCAACAGCCACAAAATACAGAATATTCAGAAGAAAATAAATCGAGTGGATTGCTTGAGCGCAACATTGGTTCGCAATTTATATAGCACATTAAAATAACTCGCATCAGAATAGTTGTAGCTATCTCTATCGACTTGCCTGACACGTAATGGGGGACCAGTTCGGCTCACTCCTGTATTTGTGATGATGTGCCTCTTCCGCCTTTTTCTGCTAACCTCTATTTATCCTCAAGATGGGAGTACTTTGAGATGTATGTTGGTCTAAACAGGATCGATGTAAGGAAGGTGGGATATTATGCACAGCTCGAGGCGTTACGGCGGGAAATGTTGCATTTGATTCCACACGCCGTATTTTCATGGATCCAAAACTGATTTGACTTTCAGATGTCATGAGACGGTAGCTACCCAGACTGAATTTTAGTGACATGGAAGCGTGGCTTACCTATAGAGAACACAGATTAGCAGTCGATCTAGCATCGTTCTCTTCAGAGTCATAAAACTTACCAATCGTAGAGAAGAAACTATCATGCTGACAACAAAAGAATATAAGTCACCTCTCAAATTAGTTCCAGAAGTAAAAGGTACTAGACCATCCCAGATCCACATGTATAGTATAGTGTAAATCCACACTTCACATGAATCAAAGATGCATCTCAACAATAGGTCCCTCATAAACATTCCTCGCCCTTAGAACATAATACACCAGGCTCAAAATAATAACACCCACAGTGCCAACCACACTAAAGTTCATTGTATCAACCGTAACCGTATGCTGCGGCGGCCAGAAACTAAAGAAGACTGCGATCGTCATATATATAAGCGCAAAGGTATTGACCAGGATACCCCAGATACCGGGCAGATGGAAGGGGCCCCAGACGAGCTTTGCGCCGGCCGTGTTGACGATGGCGTCGTCGCTGCTTTTGGAGCTGCCGATGCCACCTGTGCAGCGTCTGTAGAGGAGGAGGCTGGCGACGACCATGTAGGAGAGGTAAAGGCCGGAGATAGACATGGAGACGAGGTCATTGAAGGCGACTGAGGATCCGATGTTGATTAGGGCTAGTAGGCACGCGACTATTGTTGTGAGGCCGACGGAGTAGATTGGGATGGCGGATTCTGGGGTCACCTGAAATTACCTTAGTGATTGATTATTTTTGTAGTAGGAGGGAATTTTGCAGGCGGAATGGAGGATGGGGATTGCGATGTACATACCCTGCTCCATAAGCGCCAGCCGGGAATTCCGCGGTCTCTCGCGAAAGACCAGAATTGCCGCGATGTTGAAGCCAACATGCCCACCGATGTGCATATTCCCATGGTCGTGATAATAGAGCCCATGGTTGCTGTGCCAGCCACAGAGTGCGTCGCTTGGAGGAAAATCGCCATGAAAGGATAACCAGTTGGAGACACTAGGGCCGCATCGATATCTCCCAGGCAGAACAACATTGCGATCAGCATGCTGAAACCTAATGTTCCGTTGATGAGAACACTAAGCATGATAGAGCGTGGGACAGCAACGGGCGCGTTTGTGATTTCTTCAGACATCTGCAGATAAAGAGTCAGCATCTGTTCTCATTGGCAGTTGAAACCAAGAATCGCACATGAACAGCAGCGTCACCACCTGCGAATGCAAATACACAACCGACTAGACCGATGAAGAATGACAAGCCCTGCGTGGGCCATTCGCCCAGGTTCAGGAAGTGGGTGAACACCTCCTGCGCACTCGAGTGATCCGCCATGTATGTTAGCGGGATAAGAATGGCGAAGAAACCGAGAATGTGGAGGATGAGGATGAGGCCCTCGAAACGGGGCAGCAGATTCCCTCCCACGCTGTTAATACCTACGGAGAAAACAGCGACGGCCCAAAAAAGGAGAGTTCCATGCCAATTCTTGGGCTCATAACTGGAGTTTGTGAGGACGATAAGGCCTTGGATGAGCGTTCCAGAAAGAAAGCACGAAGTTGCAAACGTTGCTTGCCATCCGATGACCGTGAGCCAGCCTGAGTCGCGGTGTGTGAGTAGCAATGAATACGTTTCTCGCAGGTTTGATGAAGTGCCCACCTGTCAGGTAGCTGAAGAGCTTCATTGCAGACGGAGGTGCCAGCATAGAGCACCAATGATACTGACCGCCAGATGTTGGTGCCCTAAGAAACTGTCATCATAGAATCCTTTTACCACGATAGGATTTTTTCATACATCGATGCCAGCTCTGATAAAACCACAAAGGTCGCTGCAACACCGGCCCAAACGAAGATGAAACCATACACGGCTCCTGCTGGGCCTCCACTGGAACCACTTTTGTTAACATCTGACCGAATAAAGGGATAGCGGGTTGACACCATACTTTTGAAATGCCTGCAAGAATAGTCTGCTCGTATTGTTAGTAAGGTTGATCATGTCAAATATTCTAGTAAGTCGATGTAAAGGACGTACACGACAATGCCTTCCCACGTGATGAGGATCGTGCAGCTGAAACCCAGCATTGACATTAAGCCGAAATTCCGCTAATGATGATAAGCAAGGGTCAGAAAGCGTAGACAATTGTATAGCTGGGATACCTTCAAGACAGGGCGTTTGCCCAAGCGGATCAAATTGACATCATCGGTCTCTTTACTTGAGAAGCGACCCTCTACCTCGTGCGAAGTGGCAGGCGCCATTTGCTTGAGCTCATGGGAGGCCATGGTGAAGCAAATGGCCTTGGAAAGAATGTAACGGAGGAGCCTTGAGGGGTATATCTGTCAAAACAGTCGTTATAGATAGCAAGAAACCCAGACTCCCAAGATTTAAGAAAAAGAAACGAAAGTGCGGGTATCTGGCCATGTTTAGGAAGGAATGTGGAATGTTTAACCGCAATCCCTGTCTTATGCAAGTTACTCGGTAATTACTTAAAAGTGAGCTGCAAGACAAATGGAAATATTTAGTCTAGAAACTAGTCCGACCCTTCTCGTATAAGAGTTTCCATCATATAGGGGGGTCAATTAATATCAGACCTCTTTAGAATCCCTGACTACCAGTAGCTATAACGGGTTGTATTAATTTGTCGATGAGTACGACATATGTAGACCCTTGTAGGGGCTAACCCTAAGATGCCTGGCGATGTCTCTGAATCGTTGCATCCTCGGAGGGTTTCGCGAAGCCAGTTGACTCCCCGAACACTACCTCAGACGGACACAAGTCTGTGTTGAACACGTACTAATATCTAATAGGACTAAACCGCTCTCCTGATATATTGAGGTTGTATATCACTCGCGGTTATTCCCCTGCGGCCCCACAATGGACAATTCGCGATCAACCCAAACGGCACGTCGGTTGTACCGCTAAAATCCTGATGACGCCCTAAGATATTTAAGTAGTTGGGTAGGTTGAGCTAGATTCGAGAATGCCAAGGAGTCCCGCTCGGCTCCCATCGGTGGAATTAATATGCATCCCAATATAAGTGGAAAACTTTGTGCGTACTGACTCTGGATCTAGAACCTTACGACTCCAGTCATTGGGCCAAACAACGGCGGACTAAAGTTCAGAGAGAAAAATAGTGTATGGAGTGGAAAGACATTAATATAATATTCATATCATCCAAAATTTACCATGAGATTAAAAGAGATCTAAGGAGTGCGACCGCATCACTTGGAATTCTCGGCGAAACTACGCCGTACCTCGGTCACTGTCCAAGTCCTAATTTCATGAATAATATGCGTCTGGCTCGACTGGCTTTCCCCATCCCAGCCCAGCGATGGCGTCGAGGTAGTCACAGTAGCCTGGTGGGTATCCTGCATCGGTAGGGGGACAAGCTCATGCGCATCACTGTGATCTGTGCCTCTTCGACTCCGGGCACGCGAAGCGGAGTATGAGCCGTATCCCTTTTGCGAGTGACCGTAACTTGTCATACCACCAAGGCGCATCCCCGTTGAGCGCAGACTGTCGAGGAACGGTTTGAACTGGGGCGAACAGGCCGTGACAATGCTTAAAGACTGAACTAGCTGGGTGGATATCGTCACGGGCCAAGTCTCATGGGATGGATCGGGAGAATCGGCAGTTTTTGTAGCATACACAAGCTGGCAGACAATCATAATAATAACTCTGCGCACGAAGTCAGTCGAGGCTAAGGCGACGGAAGATACCGGGGATAGTACGAACGCGACCCGAAGCAGAAACACCCCGGCCAAGACGGCCTTTTTCTTCATATGTGTCTGGATGCGTACAATTACTAGCATTGCCTGCACAATCATACCACATTCCAACAAGATATTCGTCGTGCCAAGATAATTCCACCAGCCATTCTGTTGACCCCATCAGTCATTTATCCGAATGCAGAAAAGGGACATCACCCACAATGTGAAAGCATTTCCCATGCAGATAGTCCCAAGTTCGAGGCGGTTTGCACTGAAAGGCTGAGGTTATGATGCCAATCACCCCCCAAACAACAGTAAACATTTTCAGGCCAACTGCAATGCGGTGGTCTGTAGAAGCAGGTGTCAAGTTATCGATAAAGCTGATGAGAGCGAGTTTAGAGAAACACATGCTCAAGATGAAGAGGATATTCGCTGAGTATTGCGACTAATTCTTATAAGTACAAGTATCCAAGGAGATGCGTGTCTTGCTCACCTTCATCATTTCTTCAATGCTGGAACTACTCAAACTCTCATAATACTCCCCGTACCCGTTGGCAGTCGCCATCGACACGGCGATGGACTGCGCAGCGCAGAGTACCTGGTGGGAATCAGCATCCGTATCGCATAACATCTTCCGCCAGATTCCAAGTCAAATCATACCAAGGAAGTGATGCTGAAGTAATCATCTTCAGTGAATTTGCGAAAGATCCAGTACTTGGTCCCTAGTCGAGTGATGACGCTCAGAATTGCCGTCACCAGCAGAAACCATGTCAAGACATTGACCGCTGGAGTCCAGCTGTCCGGCGAAAAATGGGCCATTGCACGCAAAATGATAGGGGCGATGCTGGGTTCACCATGTGGAATGCAGATGTAGACTTATTTGGACTATTCCTTGTGTTTCCGTCCATGACAAGCAAACAGCAAAAAAAGGCAAAATTATTTTTATTACGAAAGAACTAGATCTAGCCACCCAGAATGATTTTCCCATTGGCAGTTGTTGGAAAGGGAGATCATAAGCCGCGTACCGGCGGCGATCTACTCTGTGTGTGTGTGTGTGCCTCTAGAGCAGACTAGAACCGTTCGTCAAGGGTGGGAAATTAAACGACCGATTGAAATTAATATTAATATGAGAGCAATATAACTCGAAGGGGCTAGGGCGCTCAAAGAACACAGAACTATTCCGTATTCGCTCCATCGCTGGTTCAATTATTGGACTACGTATTTCCCTTGTTAGCACCTGAGACGGTTTGCGGTGGTGAAACCCAGCATGGCCTGATGGATCCGTGTTATACTGAACCCCTAATATAGCTCTTGAGCTGCTTGATTTGTTCGATTCGCCTCGTGGTCGCACATTAATCTGGTCCATGGGGACGGGTTGCATGCCGAAGAAGGGGATGTCCGGGCATTGAAACGTGCGGTCCGCATGATTCAAGCCGTTGAGCTTAAGAAGCCAGCATGAAGTGGAGATGATGGCAAATCAACGTAGGCTAACTTGCTAAGACAAATGAGAAATTTATCACCCACTGTGGTCGCGGTGCATGCTCCGAGGACGCTAAGTATTGGGAGGACCTTGTCCCCACTACTTACTATATGGTCACTTTTACCCGGATTCCTGACACCAAGTCGAGTTCTTGAGACTACGAGAGCAACAGAGGGCGTCAACACCAACATATAACTATCTCACGCCCAAATCTATCAGTATCAGCATGAGCAAATATTCAGCCCGACGCAGGTTTGGAGCGCGGGTTTATTGTGAGTCTGGCCCGTCCATAGTAGCACTGCTATAATCTCGGTGAAACCTTTCCGTTTATTAGATGCTATTACGATCATCTTCGCAGATCCATGATCTACATTTTTTAACATTGCCCTGACTTCAGGGTTTCAAGGGACTGTCGGAATAGGACGCGGGACGAATGGGCTTTGGACAAGATCAATGTAGCATTAACGGATTTATCGGCTCGCATTGCTATCAAGATTTCATAATATCATGTTCCCTCCTCTTCAAATGTTACCTGGATTACGATACGCTTCAAGTGCTCAATATCACAAGTTGTTATCAAAATATCTCTCACATTGCTCTTTTATCCACTGTGACCGTTTTCGAAAATCAGATGGGAGTTTGACACCATCTTCACAGATGTAGGCGTCTATCAATGTTGGAGGGACCCATTCGAAGTAAACATTCGGTACGTTGACTGTAACTTGTCGACCCTTCCTTTGAATTTTCTGTTCAATGATGTTGAGCCCTTTTACGGTCTCGCTCTGCTGCCAGGCGTCCAAAACCTCCGATGACTCATTGTTTTCCATGGTATGTGCTTCTGTATCACAGCTCTGCATCGCGACTTTATCGAGTTCACTCACAACGATAATGTCTGCCGCGGGCGAGACATGCCGCACGCTTAGAGCTGCCGGCAAGGACCCGGTTTTGTTACTAACTGACCCATCAGCTGCAATGCGATCAGCTGCAAGCAGAAGGAAATCGACATCCTGAGCTGCAAGGGCGACTGAAGCGTCGGTAAAAATAGATACGTTGACTTTGGGGCTGTTCGGTTCGTTCTCAAGGTACTCTAGAAGTGAAGATGCTAGTGAAACACCTTCAAATAACGGGCGTGATTCTAAAACGCGGATTTCGATTGATTGAGCGCCGGAGATCCGTGCCAACTGTGCAATGCATTCACGAATGGTACAACTTGCAGATAATGTTAAGATTTTCAAGTGTTTAGGTACAGAACCCGTTCGGCTAATTTTAGACATCGCGTATGATCCGAAATTGAAGCTAAGGCGAAGCTTATATGATCGTATCTTTTTCTGAATCCGGTCGAAGAGCTCGGAGATGTGCAGCTTGTTGCAAGTTTCCTCAGGGCCCATGTTCAATAAAAACATCTCAATCTCAGTCAATGTCATCAATAGAAAACTGAGAATGGCCGCGTCCATACTTTGACGCCCGTTTTTCCAGAGATGCCAGGCCGTCATCTTGGCTTTCTGCCACCATGTGCCACTAAGAGTGATGGGGTCGTCAAGGTGGACCAAGACCGCCCGGAGGATGTTCACTGAAACAGCAGCTAATTTTCGTGCGCCACTTTCATGATCGTGTTGAAGCTGTTTCAGACCATTCGCCAACATCTTCCCTGGCGCTGGGCCAAGTTCGATCTCGAACCAAACTTTTCGCAAGCCCTGTCCGTAGTAGTGGCTGTCCATCAAGTCATACAGATTCGACTCGTGGTTATCCCATCCACCCATACCTTGATGAAGACGTGAGTTATCTACCTCGGTGCTGAGACCTGACAGTGTATTGAGATGGAATGCGAACGGATAAAAGAGGCATTTCTGGCCGATAGATGAAATCTCTGAAAAAAAGCTCTTTCCATATCGAAGAACAGAGAGTGAGGATGGTGGTATGGTTGTCTGCGTTTTGATCGTCTTCCAGGCGGTATCCACAGGACTCGAACTGTTGTCTTCCATTACCCCTAGTAGGGTCTCTAGAGGGCCGCTATGACAATTTATCTATCAGAACTAATAGTACTTAAGAGTATGAAGGGTTGTGGGGCGAACCATGGCAGGGTAGCCCTATCGCTTTTCCGAACCTGAGCACTATTTGGCTTTGGACCCTTTGGCAATTCTGGTTCTATATTGGCACTTCGAACGATGAAACATAGAACTGCCCGATGATATGGTGATTCTGGTCGCGGGCGGTCTTTAATCTGCACAGACTTTAACGGTGAAGGCTGCTGCGTAGCCGCTTCGAGCTCAAATGATGTGAAGATTGCCATGGGAAAAGTCTCAATGATTTCGACGAGAACACATTGCAGGGACGAGACCACCGCCCTTTTGAGTAGTGTATAAGGAAAGTCGAAATGGCATTTTCACCGACAATTCACAAACACGTCATGCCATTGGGCAGCAACGTTGATAGGCCCGCAGAAAATGGAATAGTACTCTGAGTAAGGAGCATATCCTGAAGCTGGCGGAAGCTGACTGGCCTACCATGTGGAGGCGGGATCCACGCTTCAGCTCAGTCTGGGAATAAATCTCGATTCTTGCCGATCAAACTTACCGGCGGAGTGACCTGTCTCACTCGGCTGACACGAGGATGTCAAGAGTGTTGTGGCAAGCGTACAGAATTTGTCGAGCCGGGCATCATGTTATCTGAGAACCCGGGAACAATTTACCTGGCGGATGATAGGAAATATGTCTGAATAAGGAGCTTCGAAATATATCGGCAGTGGTGGCGGTACTTTGTCGAGCTGAATCGAACACCAGTTCTCGCTAAGCCATCTCGGGTCAGGCGAGAGTTGATCCCCTCTCTAAAAGGAGTTAGCATATGTCGATCCATTCTATCATGGTGATATCAGCCTAGAAACTTGCTGTCTTTAGGGCTACATCAGTTCCTGTCAGTGAGGAACCCTTCTCGAGTAGTTCTAGACTATACGAGGCAGGTGACATTGTGTGGGTCGTTCTTTTAGAATTCCATTGTGAGAATTTAAGCACTGACGGGCACGTGAAAAGTAAGTCCCCTTGGACTGTAGTGTGGATTCTATCTTCTTAAATTCATATTTAATCAGTTTACGCCCGTCAACTGATTATTTCATAGGTAACCAATTTTAAGAACTATTCACTATGAGCGACGATTCGGGGCTAGAGTAAGAGATCAATTAATATAAGAATATAATATACAATGATTTCATGTCTGCGGAGAAATGTGGGGTAACTTTCATTGTTCGAGGATTATCCTTGTGCCCCTCCCAACTAATAATTCAATCTCCTGTCTATCAACATGCTGAGGTTACTCGAAGGTCGTCATTGCGTTCCATCTCGTGGGCGAGATACCCTGCCCTAGAGAAAATACCCGATATTTGGCCGAGATGGACAGGGTTTGCATGGTTACCCTCGTCCTACTCCAGTAACCCCCTCATATTCTTGTTCTTATCCTGATTCTTGGATTGCTTCTGTTCCGGCCGATTCCCGAGCCAATGTAAGCTTCGGCTCACCTCCAACTTCCGATTATCCCGCTTGGGTTGACCGTGATGCAGTTGATGTGAGCAGTCATACAATAGTGCGCCACTTATATCCGTATTGGGCCAACGTTGGAAATGTAACCCATCCATGCATTTCCCACAAGTCAACTGCCATGCCTGGTCATTATAAATTGTCACTCTCCGCTCGCTCTGGACCCTGGATCCTTGTTGCATCCACTCAACCTTCAACACCAACCTCACCCTGAACCCCGATGTTGGGTTCTCTCCTACTTTGTGCCTCCTTGGCCGGGGCTGCCGTGATTGAGTCACGAACGGACACCCAACAGTGCCCTGGATACAAGGCATCCAATGTCCAGGAAAATGATCGGTCTTTGACGGCCGACTTAACCCTCGCAGGAAAACCCTGCAACACCTATGGCACAGACCTGCAGAACCTCAAGCTTCTGGTAGAGTACCAAACCGGTAGGAACAACCACCGTTTTTTCTTCGGAAAACTCGATTGCTAAACATTAGATTAGGTGAGCGTCTTCATGTCAAGATATATGATGCCGAAGAATGTGTGTACCAGGTGCCTGAAAAGGTGGCCCCTCGTGTAGACAGTGGCGAGGGCTCTAGTAAAGACTCCGCACTTAAGTTTGAGTACGCGGAAGAGCCCTTCTCATTTACCGTTAAAAGAGACGATGAGATATTGTTCGACAGCTCTGCAGAAAATCTTATATTCCAGTCGCAATATCTGAAGCTTCGCACCTGGCTCCCGGAGAACCCCCATTTGTATGGTCTTGGGGAGCATACCGACTCGTTACGCCTTTCCACGACAAACTACACACGTACCTTCTGGAATCG